AGTTCCATGAAAGCAGATAGCAACAGTTCTTGACCTTGGGTGTCAGAAAATCTTCTCAAGAGGTCAGAGACAAAAATCCTAAAAGAAGACACAAGGTTAAATGGATTCAGACCAAAAACACAATCTCAAGGGTAAATAAGAGAGGATACTTTCCTGTGCATTAAGATTTTATGGGTGTTAATATGTAAATAATATGATTATGTAAATTAAACCCTAGTTGACTACAAACTTGATATGGAGGTTTCGTATTTAGAAACCTATTATGTGACACATAAGTGCTCAATACTTTTCCAAACGAACAAAAAGTAGAGTAAATATAGAGTAGGACTCTCCTCTCCTTTGCTTCTGCGTTACTTTAAGTGGCTGGGAGGCAGACCATCTGTTCCCAAGCTGAAGAGACACCAGATGTCTTCCCATATCCTCATGAAAGACTCACTCTGAAACCGTTGGGGGACACTGACTGCACCTGCACAAATACCTGCACCAGGTATGTAATTAGCCATGGGCCTAAAATACAGGTGGACCATGAAGCCTGGACCAAGCCAATAAGTAAACACAGCACAAGGACCAGAAGAGCCATGAAATTAGTGCCAGACTAAAATATGACAGTTTTTTATTGCAAATAAATTATTTTTGAGTTTTGAATCATTTACCATTTAACAAATGACCCCTGTTCACCAGGTGCTGTTTAAAGCATTTTATAGGAGTGCCTGGGTGGTTCAGTCAGTTTGGCTCAGATCATGATCCCACAGTCCTGGGAGTCCTGCATCGCACCCCCTGATGAGAGGGAGCCTGCTTCTGCCTCTACCCACCCCACCCCCCACCACTGCTTGTGAGCTCTCCCTCCCTTTCAAATAAATAAATAAAATCTTTTAAAAATAATAAAATAAAGCATTTTATAAGTATTAATTAGTTTAAACCTAACAAATCTATAAAATATATGGTATTTATAGCTTCATTTTATAAATGAGGAGACAAGCACAGAGAGCTGAAGTAAGTTGCCCAGAGTCACACAGCAGCAGAACCGGGATCCAGACTCATCCTGTCCTGAGTTTCAAAATTTATGCTCTTAATGATTATATTTACTATAGTCTTTATTATCCCATAACAGTAACAACCAAGAAGTGCAATTATCATCTTCATTTTACAGATGAAGAAAGTGAGGCCCAAAGAGATGAAGGAACACATCCTACCTTACACAGATGCTAATTGTAGAGAGCTTGAATATGATTGTAAGAAGTCAGACTCTAGAGTCCAGGGAATTAACCAGCAGGTTATCATTGCTTCAAATCCAGCTGGTTGCCCTTGTGTTAGGAAACATGCCAGCCTTGCTCATATTCTTGGTTTATTTATTGCTTCCCCTCCTCCTTAAAGTTGTCTATAGGTTTTAATGTTTGAATAAGAGAATCATCTCCTCATAGTCTTCATTTTACTCAGTAAAACTTTATCTTTACTACTTCTAGCTTTTTTTAGATATACTTTTCAAAAAAAAATAGCTAATATTTTTTAAGATTTCACTGTATGCCAGACTCTCTGCTGTGTGTTTTACTTCTATTTTTTCCAACTCATCCTACAGAAAAGACTGTAGGTAGGTTTTTTTATTATCTTCATAGACAGCTGAGGAATTTGAGGCTCAGAAATGTTGAAAGCTCCCCTGAAGTCATATAGCCAATACTACCAAAGCTCGCATTCCATTTCAGGACCTTCAGATTCCAAAGTCCATACTCATACTCTTGATGACACACTAAATTGCCTCCACCTCTCTCTTTCTCTCTCCCCACCCCCCACTTTTTTTTTTTAAGTAAGCTCCACGGCTAATGTGGAGCCCAACATGGGCTTGAACTCACAACCCTGAGATCAAGACCTGAGCTGAAATCAAGAGTCAAGATGGTTAACTGATTGAGCCACCCTGGTGCCCCTAAATTGCTTCCACCTCTTAAACAGATCTGACTATACGTGACTAGCAATCCTTTGAGGAAAGGAAAACATGGGAACAACCACCAGGTTTCAGGGCAAGAAGTTTCTGGAAAGGAGCCTCCTTTCCTTGGAATATCAGATGGCTCTTTACAGCCAAGACCTGCAGTAGTTAGCACACAACCTGAGGCCATCCTGACAAGACTACTAATCCTTCGTTGTCATCATCATAAACCCTCACCGAGCTTTGCCATTCAAAGATAGTTTATCACTTCATCTGGATGTGGTCAGGCCCTAAGGAAATGATGGTAATCTGCCCAGAGTAAACTGATCTCAACTTTGAAATAAATGCATATTAATTTATAGGGTCAATAACCCCTGACAGGAGAGATTAGAGTAGGAGACCTGCAAACCAAACCTCCTCAAACACTAAGTCAAGAACTTGGAAGTTACTTATTTCCTCAGAAGACCCTAAACACACTTACCATACAGGCACTGGAGCTAAGCACTTCCCGTGTCTCCATTTTGGAGCTCTGCATCCTTGGAAAATTGACTTTGCTTCTATGAATCTGAGTCTTCCTTTTTTTTTTTTTTTTTTTTTTTTTTTATTTGTGATAAAGAGAGCTTGAGAGAGAGAGAGAGAGAGAGAGATCACAAGAAGGGGGAGTGGGAGAGGGAGAAGCAAGCTCCCTGCCCATCAGGGAGCCCAATGCGGGACTCAATCCTAGGACTCTGGGACCATGACCTGAGCTGAAGGCAGCTGCTTAACCCACTGAGCCACCCAGGTGCCCTCATTCTTTAAATGTCTCTACCATTAACTCCTACCTGAAGGCATTATTGAAAAGATCAGAAATACCTATAAAGTAGGGGCACTTTACAAATGTCACATGAGTATTACTGTCCCCTGTATCTTGATATGGGCATGTGCCTGCCACCCAGATTGAAATACCCATGTTATATATCCAAGTATCCTTTCCCCAAAATTTTACTGGAGAAAAGCTGATAATTCATTTTAACTTCCTTTCCTAATATCACAACAGAATACAATTCCCGATTTTGCAAATTGCTTTTGTTAGTTTCCTACAGACCAACTGCTTTGTCTGATGGCCTGTTTCCTAGGAAGCCCTCTCCAGGTCAGGCTGTGGGGCTTGTCACTTCCACGGAACTCCCTACAGGGAAGTACTTTCTTCTGCAGGATGAGGATTCTTATTTTAGCATGCACCCTAAATGACACATAAAGGAATTTGCCAGAGTGGCTATTCATATTATTTTAGGTTCTTATGGCTCTCTACCCTCCAAATACAGCACTATTTCCTCATCTTCACTGGCATTAAGGGATGTCAGCAAAACTTAATATAAAAAAAACTGTCTCTGTAAAGGGTTTAGAGGCAGGTCTCAAAGATGATTAAAGGATCAGAAAACCTAATATGTAGAGAAAGTGAAAGACACCAATGTACTTTATCTAACGGAGGCAAGAAACCAGACATCCCCTACTGAACAATGGAACAAGAGAAAATGAAGCTGTGCTGCAGTGTGAGGGATGGGGAGAAAGATCTGCAGTCTTCTTAAATGTGGCTATGAGTTATGTTAAGATCTTGTCAACCATCCTCTTTTGGAGACTTAAAAGATGTGGTCTGGATACATCTACTGGGGACAGGTTTGTTCAGTCCTACATGTATCCTTGCCCATGGGCTGACAGATGGATCAAATGACCTCTCAGCATCCCTTCCAGCCCACACTTCTGTTTTTCTATGATTGTTGGACTGGTACGAGAGCTGAGTCAGATTTGCCCTTGCAATTTTGAGGAGGAGTCAGCTGCTTAAAAAAAAAAAAAAAAAAAAAAAAAATGTAGACTCTGTCCCCAAAACAAATGCTTCTCTACCCTGTTCAAGATTAAATTATATCACCAGAGGTCTTATTTCCTTGAGCCACAAAGCATTTTTGGTCTTCTAGAGTTCCGTACCAGAACGCAGACACTGACACCTAAATGAGGATCAAGTAACTAAATCTTATCAGATCAGAGATCAAGGCCCTGTGACAGATGAAGGCTGGAAATGCAGGAAGAGGAGAGAGAGTCCCAAACACAGAGAAGACAGAGACAGGACTATAAAGGCAAATTGGGTCTAATTGAAAATTGTAGCCTGAGGTTACTCCAGAAGGGAGGATGGGGCCCTCTTCCCTCCCAGCTGAGTTCAGTAATTCCTTCAAAGAATGCAGAGCACTAGCTACTGGATGTGAAGCACCAGACAAGGCACTGGGAGCACTGCAGTAAGACAAACACACAGCTGGCTCCTGCTTTCCTGCAAAACACTGAACATGGGGTGAACGTAGAGTAAATACTACATGGGATCTCCACATATGCAAGGGTGAGTTGCTGATGTACACACAAGGCACTCTTCTGGGCATCTGGAATGGGGTGGTGACCAAATGGAGCTTACATTCTGATAAGATGAAACTAGGGAATGAAAGAAGCATGAGTTGCTCTAAGAACTCTGACAGAGAGACGAGCCTCGCTAAAAAGTCCAACCTGAGAAAGGGATGCTTCTATCACCATGTGAAGCTTGAGTAGGGACTGGTAAAAGGTATGCGTTGGGGAAGGAGGAAATACCTGGAGAGTGTTCCATTTCACGTTACCAAATGTTGCCAAGCTACCACAGTTTGTTGTATAGTAAAATAAAAGGTAATTTATATCTTTCTCTCTCTTATTCAAGTATTTGTGTAATAATTTTAAGCATATCAAAGTCATACTTAAAACTGCTTTATCTAATTTTTACCTTGTGGCTTTAATGTATATTGGTCTCTAAACTGTTACTTGTCAATTATGATCAAATTCTATTACAGATATGATATAATTTGGAGACCTAAATCAAAATCAAGTTAGTTTTACCCTGTTGATAAAAGCATTGAGTTTAAATCCAAAATGTGTTTGTATTTCTGAATGTAAACAAAATGACATGTTTCACCTTGTGACATAGATCTTTCCCCACCTGCATGGAATATGAATTATAGGTTGGTTCCTGCACTACAGGTGGACCTGTGGCAGCCCAGCAGTATCTCCTATGTATCAAAAGGAGCAGTTACTGATGTCCATATTCCCCAAAATGGTTCCCAAGCCCTGTTAGCATTCTTACAGGAAGCCAACATCCAGTACAAGTAAGCATTCTTTTTCACTTGCTTAATTCATGAGTACTAAATTGAACTGAATGAGAGGTGTATTCAGGTTATTTACTAAGTGCCTACAACAGCATTTCAGGCACTGTTTTTCACACTGCAAAAACAGATGCAAATGTAACACAGTTACAGTCACCTTTGATGTGCTTACTAGTGTGATGAAGGAGGGGAGAAGAACCACACTAGCCTATCATTTTACCCTTAACACTAGGTGGCCAGCGGTCACCAAACTGTGGAAAGAACCAAGATGCCCTTCAACGGATGAATGGATAAGGAAGATGTAGTCCATATACAGTATGGAGTATTATGCCTCCATCAGAAAGGATGAATACCCAACTTTTGTAGCAACATGGACGGGACTGGAAGAGATTATGCTAAGTGAAATAAGTCAAGCAGAGAGAGTCAATTATCATATGGCTTCATATTATTTGTGGAGCATAACAAATAACATGGAGGACATGGGGAGATGGAGAGGAGAAGGGAGTTGAGGGAAATTGGAAGGGGAGGTGAACCATGAGAGACTATGGACTCTGAAAAACAATCTGAGGGTTTTGAAGGGGCGGGGGGTGGGAGGTTGGGGAAACCAGGTGGTGGGTATTAGGGAGGGCATGGATTGCAGGGAGCACTGGGTGTGATGCAAAAACAATGAATACTTTTATGCTGAAAAGAAATAAAAAATAAAAATAAAAAATATATAAATTTTTAAAAAACCACTAGGTGGCCAGAGTAAACAGAGATCTCTGTGTGACGAAAGGAGAGCAGCCTAACAATGCCCAGAAACTGGGTAGGAATGCAGGGGGAGATAAAGCTTTCTGCAGGAGCAATGACACCTAAGCACAGGATGAGCCCCAGGACTTGCAGGCAGAGGGGACAGTGCAAGCAAAGGGAAGAAGCAGTATGCTACCTATTTAGGGAAGTGAAGTGTTTGAGTGTTATCAGTGTACAAACTGGGAGTAGAAACAAAAGATGCTGGAGATGTTGAGGGAAGACCAGGTTGTGGGAAGTCTGATGTGTACAGAGCTAGGATGTATGTGTGTGATGCTGCACACTGGGATGATGGAAGTAAGGGAGCCAGATATAAGCGGGGTGGAAGGGCAACAGGGGACTACAATAATAGTCCAAGTAAAAGGTTGAGAGGCATTGAGTCAGGACCAGAGTAGTGTGATCAGGAAAGTATTAAAAAAAAATAGTTAATAGGCAAAAACCCCTGGTCTCTGCACTTGGTTGGATGTGGGAAGGAAGAAATCAAGCACAGCCCCAAATCTTCTAGCTTGGGCAATGGAGTAGATAGATTAAAATAGATCAGGTTATCTTGAGGTATTTGGTTTGGGTTGTTTGCATTTTTTTTTTAAAGGAATAGTTACATAATAAGAATGAAGCAAACAGAAGATAGTCACAGGAGTCAAAGAAGAAACGAGAGACTTTCGAGAGGGAGAAACATTAGTGGTGCCAAGTGTGCAGTAATATCCAGCAAGAAAAGGACTGACCAGTTTCCTCTGGATTTGGCAATGTAAATTGTGTTGGTAACTCTCGTGGTAGAATGTGGGATTAAATTGTCAGGAGCATAAGACAGAGAAAGAAGTGAATAGGAGGTAGGAACATGGAGAAGCAGAGCAGACTACTGCTCTTAGAAATTAAAATAAGGAGAGAGGTAGAGAATAAGGAATGACTATAAGGAGATGCAGCATCAATGACCGCTTGAAATTTGGAATTTTAGGGGGTAGGGAGCAATTTTGGTATGTCTGCAGGCTGAATGGAGGAACAAGTTAGGGAAGGAGACATTGATGATACAAGATAGAATGCACCAATGGAAGAATGGGTTTGAGCACTAGGAAGGATACCTTATCCAGTAAGGCTGAAGAGGTAAATGTAAGTCTAGTTAGGATTATAAAGAGGAGAGTCAACAACTTGAAAGAAATAATAACTAATGGGTAAATTTTCTATATGGAATAGGAAGCAAAATTATCTACCAAAAGGGAAGAAACGAGGGCTGAAGAAATTTACCAAGAGAAAAACTGGGGTAAGAACTAATAACTGGTTGTTGAAAAGAAGCGAGACGGTATTGCTCATACAGAAAGATCAGCATGGCAAGGAAGTTGAGTTCCTAGTGAGATACTAGCTCAAGTATTCATCCATGGTGTCAAATCTGGAAAGGAAAGGAGAAGAGTGTAGGAGGAATGATGGAGTCAAATGGAAGAATCAGGAAGGGCATAAGGATCATTATATGGAACGCAGATACAGCATAACTGAGGGCAACAAGGAAATGGAAGGAAGAAAATTTTGACAAAATGTAGGCTGATATTAAGAGTCCTGGTATAGAACATTTATGGCTGGTGACAAAAGTCAGGGCGTAGTCATGGAAGATTTGGCTGAAGTGGAGTGTAAATCACCAAGACTGATGTGGTTGAGAATGAATGGACTAAATCACCAGAGAATCAATACAGCAGTTTTGAATTTCCTTTGGTGTTGGCAAGATTAGAGATAAAAAGACAAAATGTGCCCCTGGGACAGTAATTTCAGAGATTACACAGGAGTTAGAGGAAAGAAACAAGGAATGGCACAATGCCAAAGGCCAAATTAGCTTTTTCTAGAAGTATGATTGATAGGGAAGGAGAAATGCAGATTTGGGAGGATGCTGACCTCCTTCCCTTCTGGTCCCATGATAGGTGGATTGGCAGAAGAGAAAGCCACAAAAGAATCTATCCTTGAGAGAGTCCAATTTCTATCAGGGCAAGAATACGAGAGGAGAGAGTTCTCTGAAGAGGTAAGAATGTTGGAAGTCTATTTACAGTGAAAGCAGGCTTCCAGCAGGCACATCATAGAATGAAGTGGTGGAGTGATGACGAGTCAATGCAGGATGTGGGGGAGAAGGGCAGTAGTGTGAATTAATGACATGGAAAGGAGTGACATAACTTCATTTGGGAATCTAGGATTTCAGGGCTGAGAGGCATGATCTTAAGTGACTAACCTGAATTGCTCCAACTTTTCAGCAAATTGTTGTACTGTTAAAACTGGCAGGAAGATCACTGATGATGTCTGGTAAGGCCTGGGATGGGCTCACGGCTCTGTGAGTCAATAGTGAAAGCCTTAGTCTCTGGTAGTCTGAGCCACAGGGTGCAAAGTAACAGTGACATTCCTACCTCGTCCACACAAATACTTCCCTGCCTGAAAGATAATTACACCCTTATTAAAGTACTGATATGCTTTTTACAGAAAGGTATTTTATTGTGCTTCTAGAACAGAGTAGAGTCACAGCTGTGCATAAAACTATTGTTCATATTGAACACATTTTAGTCATCACTATAACTTTGAAGGCGTGCTTTGATTCTCTGAATGCCTGGAAGGAAGGAGTTTGGTAATTATATCTATAGGTGCTCAGCAATAACTCACATGCTTCATTAATTATAATTCAGTAGAAGGGAATATACCAGTTATTTTAACAAGTCTCTGTTTCTTGCCATTAAATATAGGTCATGTGGAACTGATATAGAATAAAATATCACACTTTTTGTCACAGAGAATGGAATCTAAAAAAAATGAATGTTTTAAATCAGTTGTCTCCTCATGGTGGACATCATTTAGAATTATTCATTTTGTTGGTCTCAAGATAATAACACATAAGAGTCAATTAAATTCCACAGGGCAGTAGGTAGAGATCATTTTTAATTGACTTTTATCATTGTTGCCTAGGGTATTTTCAAAAGATTATCATTAACTCTGTACAACTGCACATAATATATAGCTGTAGTCATCTTCAAGGCAGAGATAATGTGACCCCATGAGTCTGGCCCCTGGGTAATGAGTCCCTTTCAATGACATGACAGATGAGATGACTCATTCTGTTATAAAAAATTCAATCATTTTATAAATTAAATACCTGTAAAAATTGGCAGTGGAATTTCAAGTTTCGAGCCCCACTGACCTGCCCTAGAAGCTTTGGGGCGGGGGTTTTATACTGAGTGTTGACATCATTTGAAAAGTTCTCAGTAGCTCTGGTCACTATCCTAGGAGTATATGCAACTAGGGTAGGAATAATAATCAGCCATAAAGGACCTAGAAAATACAACACTTATAAATGCTATTTTGGGCTCCTTCTCATCAATCTGTGGTGTTGACTACTTAACAAGAAAAATGAAAAATAAAAAATTAAAAATTAAAAGAATTAAAGGTAAAAAAAAAAAAGAAAGAAAGAAAAATGGGGCTAGAACTATCACACAACAATTATTTTAATTTTCAGATTGGTCTTTTAGGACTTATATTAAGATACTGTCCAGTTATTGAACATAGAACTGTATTAGTTTTCTAGGACTGTCATAACAAATACCACAGACTGGCTGGTTTAAAAGGCAAAAATTTATTGTCTCATGATTCTTGAGGCTAGAAGACTTAGATCAAGGTGTGGGTAGAGTTGGTTCCTTCTGAGGGCCTTGAGGGAAGGATCAGTCCCAGGCTTCTTTCCATGGTTTGTAGACAGCCATCTTTGCCTCTTCATATCTTCCCTCTATGTGTGTCTTTGTGTCCTGATTTCTCCAGTATATGCAACATAAAATGTACCATTTTAACCATTTTAAATATACAATTCAGTGACATTAAGTACATTCACATTACACAACCATCAGCACATGCATCTCTAGAACTTTCTCATCTTCCCAAACTGAATTTCCTCTTTCTATAAAAACATCAGCCGTATTGGATCAGAGTGCATCCTGGTGACCAAAGTTTAATTACATCTGCAATAATCCTAGTCCCAAATAAGGTCACATTCTGAGGTGCTGGGGGTTAGGACTTCAACATATGAACTGGGGGAGATGGGGACGTAATTCAACCCATACCAGATCCCCAAAGACAGTAGCTTCAATCAAATAGAATTTACTTCTCCCTCATGGAATGGTCCAAAGGTCCAGAATCTGGGACTGCACCACTCCAACCACCACTGTTGTTACCATAACTGCCTCTCACCCTATAAACCTGGTAACTAGACACTGGAGTGCTGAGTCCAGCAATGCCGACTGTCTCTCAACAGTCACATCTCTGTGGCCTTGTCATGGCCACAGCAACAGCAGGAGATGGCCTCTACCTCATTCTTAACTTCCTATCTTAACAGTGTTTACAAATCTGTACCCAGAATCAAGACTGCAAGAGAGTCAGGAAAAAGTAGGTTTCAGCTTCCCAGCCCCTGAGGTACAGGAAGTCCATAAGGAGAGTAGGTAGCTGACCATGTCCAGTACAGACACTCAGGAGAGGAAAAAGGAAACAAGGGTCAGCCATATTCTACTATTCTCTTCGTTTGCATTTAATTTGGAACTTGAGAGGACTGATACCAGTGATTTTCTAGATTTAATGAACGTGAATTAGTGGTTTCCAGATTGTTAGCCTAAATTTGATCCCCACACTATATTAAAATCACTTTAGTGAGCTTTCAAAAAGGACTGATACTTATTCATAAATATTCTTATCTATGTAGGGCCCAATGTCGTATATTTTTAAGTTTTTTTTATTTTTAAGTAATCTCCACACCCAACGTGGTACCCCAGGTCACAACTCCAAGATCCAGAGTCACACACTCTTCCAATTGAGCCAGTCAGGTGCCCCAGTGTGGCATATTTTTTTAAAGCTCACAGGTAACTTTAAAGCAATGCAGCTTAAGAATCACTAGCCTAAATGGATAGGCAAATATTAAGGAATCCAAAAACTAGTTCTACTTAGGGCACTTGGAGACTTTAAAAGAAAACTGAAGCGCTTAAGAGTTTATTCATCAAAGAAGTTAATATCCATCTAGAACGATCCCGTACAACTTGAAACTGAAAAACTTTATAATTTTGCTACTTTGGTGAAGACACTAGTAAACTTGACTAGAAAATATTAAGATAAATCCATTGTAGGAGCAATTCTCCATTAGAATTATTTCAACAATTCTCTGAATGGACATTTCATGATGTGACCGGTAATATGTCATAGTCATTTATCAATTGATAATGATAAATGATAAAGAATCTAATCAATTAATAGGCATAGCTTTTTGTACTGAAACTCTTGGGAAAATATTGCCTTTCTAAGGGGAACAATGGTAGTTCTATCAGGAACTGCCAAACAAACAGATGTATCAGCATCAGAGCTTCGTAACTTTCTGGTGGTAAATGTGGGGAATTGCTCTTACCTTGAGTGGGAACAGTTTGCACTTGTTTGTATTTAGAAGGTCTGTCCACTTTGGAAATAATGCAATGACAATATACCATGGCTCAATTTGTAAACATTCAAACATTTTTTGAACTTTTGAAAACTTTTTTTGTGGGTGTGTTGTCTTGTTTTGGGGTTCATAATGTCACACTGGACTCAGAGTCTAAAGACTAGAATTCAGGTTCACATTCTGAGTTCAAATTCTGGCTCTGTACTCCCTAGCAGAGTGATGTTGGCAGGTTCTTAACATTTTGGGGGCTCATTTTTCCCTGTCTGTAAAACGGAAGTAACAAGAAAATCTACCTTATAGGGTAGATTTTTAACTTTAACTCAGCTCGTGTACATGAAGTACATAGCATGGTATCTAAATAGGTACTCAATAAATGTAAATGCTCATACCCATCATTCAGTTCTTATAGCTGTTCAGTTAGTGGTAGTAATTATTATCATTTGAGAATATCTACCTATAATTTTACCTTTTATGTTCTTTACCTAATTTAATAGTTTCTATTTCCCAAAAGAGAACATTTTCCCAACATTTGATATTTTTCAAGATGTCAATATTTGCTATCCTCTTTTTCATAGATGCATAATTTTCTTTTCAAATTTTATGTGATCTCCATTCAGTTTGCATCATGTCTATCATTTCAAATCCAGGGTCCTCATAGAAGATCTTCAGAACACACTGGAAAAGGCAAGCAGTTTGCGAACCCAGAGAAATCGAAGATACCTGTCTGGATATAATTATGAAGTTTATCACTCCTTAGAAGAAGTATGTAATCAGAGGAGCTTTTGTTTTTGTTTGTTTGTTTGTTTGTTTGTTTGTTTAATAAATACAGCTTTATCATTTAGGTCTGATGGCTGGGGGAAAAGCATAAAGATAGAGGCAGGGGCCATATGAAGAACATATAATGTTCTTATACGGCCCAGCCAGCTCAGTTCATCATCTCTTCCATTATTAAGCCTTTATAAGAAATAGTGAAATAAGTTGGATTTCATTTGCTTTACCCAAACCACCCCTCCAAAATACATGGGAAGGGCAATGGAAAAGTGAGGTAATGCTACTATAATTGCAGTTGTGAAAACCTTAACTAAAAAGCCATGGAAGGTAGATCCAGTCAGAGTTTGAGGCAGTGATTTGGATGGGGGTGGAGTGAACGTTGATTCTTGCCACATAGCTTCTGCACAAGTTGAGGCCTCCCAAAGGCCAAGCCTTATTTGCAGAATCTCAGGACCTTTAAACATGTTGTTATTTATTCTTCCTATTACTCATTCTACAACAACCTCATTCTTACCACTATATCCTTTACTGGTCACCTAGACAATACCTAATTACTCTTTGAATCTCAGCCCAAGCAAAAAGATGGCTGTTTCTACTCTCGAAGATGGAATTAGAACTCCTCACCTCCAACCCCAGCATATTACATGCACCCACAGCACATGGATATGATATCTGTCATAGTTTTTATGTATATAATTGTAGGACCACTTGATTAATGCTTTTCTCTCTTCATAAGCTTCAAGTTCAATGAGGGAAGGCCATTTCTTTCTTGTTCACCACTATATCCCCAGTGGCAAGCAAATAGGAACCTCCAAGTAGGTAGTAGATGACAGAATAAATAAATGAAGATGTACATAGATTTTCCAGCTTTCCCTGAATTGAGCAAAGGAATGTCAGGCATAAAATTAATGTGATCCAAAAAAAAAAAAATAATGTGATCCTGTTATATTCTAAGGCAAATATTTGGTTATCTTGATAGTGACTTTTTATCCAAAATTATTTTCATATATTTCATGTTCCAACATATGTTTTAGAAGCTTGAAATTAGAAGCAATGGGAAGATTTTAGCTAGCTTGGCACATGGAAGTGTTATAAAATGCACTAGAAAAAAATTTTAAATATATCTATAGATATGTACATACATATACATACATATATACACATAAGATACATATATATAATATATATATATATATATATATATGTATGCTCATTAGACTAAATAAGAATAGAAAGAAAAGAAAGCTTGGTACTTCTCAAAATCTAAATTTTTCAGCACAGACTGTCTTGCACACCATGGATTAAAGGGACACTTTTGTGTGACTTCCTTACTTCTTATAAAGCTTTTAAGTCAGAAATGTCATTCATATTTCTAAGTGCCTTATTCATCCATCTCAAATATACCTTCTTCTGATGACAGATAAGTGTGTGTGACTGGATCAATGCAAATGTATCACCGTTACTGGGAAAATTATTCAGAGTATGCCCTCTGATGTGTGACTTGAATAACCTTTAAATGGAGAAGACAATGCCTTTTTCTTAGCATCTTCTTTTCAGTGGCAAATTACAGTATATGGGACTTTAATAGACCCTTTCAAGTAGTTTGCATAGTTTTCATGAACCTGATTTCTTTTTCCTCTTAAGTACTTGGGAGGGAAATGGAAATAATTTTTGTTTTCAAAAAGAACCCAGAACACATGGGTTAATTTTCTACAAAGCTCTGCCATCAAGATACCAATGATAAATGGTAGTAGAAGGTATGCATTAAAAAGGGGACAATATAAAGACATGAAGCTACTATTTGTAAAGACAGAAAATAAAATATAATTTTAAGTGTCTTAAGGAAAATTAAAAACACAAAACTGATTTTTGTTCAGTTTTATAATCATGTATGCTCTTTGAGCCTGAGACTTATTGCTGCCTTTTGTTACCTTTTGTTCTCTAAAAGTTCCATAACTGGAAGAGTCTGACATGGTTTTCATTTATTTGTTTTAGATTCAAAATTGGATGCGTCATCTAAATAAAACTCATTCAGGTCTCATTCACATGTTCTCTATTGGAAAATCATATGAGGGAAGGTCTCTATATGTTTTAAAGGTAAAAATATTTTTCTTATTTAGTAAGCATAAAAACATTTATTTATTTAGTAAACATTCATCTTTTTCAAGTTTGACTTATGGGAAAAAATGAAATGATCTTTCACAGCATCTCATTTTTAATATCATCTGATAATTTCCCTTAGATTTTTGGGCCATATTTAATTTTTGCCATTGAGTATTCTAGGGAATGCTATTTCTAACATAGAGTTGTTGACGCTCTTTAAAATAATGGCATTCAAATTATTGTGAGCTGGTGCTTCTTAAGGTGAACCAGTGCAAAAATGTATATGTATAAGAAAGTATATGCCCTTCCCAGTCTTTGACCCTACATTCTCTCCTAGCTACTTACCCAGAGCTCTCTATCTCTTCTCAGCCAAACATCTGAGAAGTTTTCCTTATATCACTGTTTCTATTTCCTTACCTCCCATTCAGACCTTGACTCAATGGCCTTCACCCCCATGGCTCTTCTAAAATTTCTCTTGCTGAGACCAACAATGACTCCTAGTTGGTTCTCCTTTGTCTCTGACCATGCCCTCCTGTCTCACTCACTGGCCCCTCTCCCCTTGCCCTTCCCATGGGTTCTGATCATTCCAGAACTCTCTGCTCAGATCTATACTCTCCTTCTACCAACCTCTCTAGATGGACACTTCACCCCCATGGTTTCAACAATCATTCCAGAAATTTCTATTTAGTTGGGGTCCACTCTCTGGAGCTTTACATTCGTATGTCATTACCTACTTGACCTTCTCATCTCAATATTCACAAAAGCACCTCAGACTCAAAATGGCACCATTCTGTGACCGCAGTCAAGAAGCATGAACATCATCCTAAATTCCTCTTCTTTATTTTTACCACTTCCTTTAAATCTACCACTGAGAACTGACAATTCTTTCTTCTAAATATCTTTTGGATCTGCTGCAGTTCCTTCTCTTGTCTTCCTTACTCTTGCCCTAACTTATCTCTGGATCTCTTCTCCATGGACTATCACAATAAAGCATTCAGTACGCAGTTCCTTTCAAGTTCCTGTCCTCGCCCCTCTCATACTCTAATCAGTCACTACTGTCAGCATGACCTTGTGTCCATCCGTGCCTTTGTCTCTCTATCTCACAGACATACCCCTCTCCCATGAAATACACGATGAAACCTTATCTCTTTTACATAAGATCCAGGGATTTCACATGTTCTCTGCCTCTGCCTCTTGTTTCATTTGCCATTTCTTCTTCATACCCCAAAAACAGTTCTTCAAAGAGGATGTGTCCAGATTCTCTTCCAAGCTTGAGATCCCTTCTTCCACCTTGTCTGCTGGGCAAGCTTCAAGTCTTACCCAACTACTCAAGTGTTCCTCCCCTGAAAAGCTTTATTTTATTCTCTGGGAAAATTATACATTACACCCCATGCTCCCTAAGCAACTTATGCATGTCCATATCACAAAGATTGATTGTTCCCATGTCTGCCCTCCCTATTAGCATATAAACTCTTTGTCTTTTCATCTTTGAATCTCCAGTGTCAAGCACAGTATCAAAAAAGGATCTCCTGAAGTATTACTTGAGTGAAGTAATGAATGAAAACTAGGTCCCCTATGAATATAATGTTAGTAGCTACCTATTTGTTATTGAGTTAAAAACCACATTTAAGTAATATTGATATAATGAGATTATAAAGAAAACTCTGTCACTTGATTTTACAAATCAATTTGCTTTGCTTTCCCATTTTGTGTTGTAATAAAATTTGACTTTGTACAGCAATAAAACTTAATTATTGCTGGGGTACCTGATGGCTCAGTCAGTTAAGTGTCTGTTTTCAGCTCTGGTCATGATTCCAGGGTCCTGGGATCGAGCCCTGCATTGTGCTCATTGGGGAGTCTGCTTCTCTCTCTACCCCTTCCCCTGCTCCTGCTCTCTCTCTCTCTCTTTCTCAAATAAATAAAATCCTTTAAAAAAATTTTAAAAACATAATTATTGCTTTAAGAAATACTCTTTGTGATTCTGATTCTCTTGGAGGAGGGGGTTAGGAGGAAGAGGAATTTAGCTTTTTACTTAACAATCACATATGATATTGAAGGAGAAGCAAATTTGGGGCACCTGGGTGGCTCAACCAGTTAAGCATCCAGCTCTTGATTTCAGCTTAGGTCATGGTCTTGGGGTCATGAGATCAAGCCCTAAATTGGGCTCTGCGCTCAGTGTGGAATCTGCCTAGGATTCTCTCTCTCTCCCTCTCCCTCAGCCCCTCCTCCTGCTCACACAAGTGCTCTTGCTATAAATAAATAAATAAAATCTTTTAAAAAGAGAAAGAGAAGCAAACTTATTTAAGGGATTGCCCTTTTTTGTCTATTTTCCTATTAGATTTGTAATTAAGGCAGTACATTTATTATTTCTACATAAACAGGCCTGGACTTCAGAAATAGATAGGAAATTTCTGTATTTTTTTGTGGGCTATCTAATGACTCAAACTATAGTGAAGAACTGCACTGAAATCTTATTAAATTGTGTTGATCAATGACTTTAAAAATAAAAGCCTGAGTTGGTTACTATGAATGCTCTTGTTTTCAGCTGGGCAGAAGGTCACGAACTTACAAAAGAGCTGTCTGGATAGACTGTGGTATTCATGCAAGAGAATGGATTGGTCCTGCTTTTTGCCAGTGGTTTGTAAAAGAAGTAAGTTAAACCCTTTATACAATGTCCATTTCAACTAACTGTTGCTTCCCATGTGTTTTTATTCTGCTCAAGAAGCAAAACTAGGAACTTAAAGCCAGCAATACCTGATTGAATGATAACACCTTGATTTTGGTGAGTTACTTTCATGGTTCTGAAAATTCATCATTACTCTGGCTCATTTTATCCTCACCTCTGTCCTCAGAGGTTGGAGTTACCAGCCCTCATTAAAAGAAAGGATCAGAGTTTCAGAGAATTTATTAGTTTGTGGACAAATTAGGAACCAACCAGGCAGCTGATTTATGGTAAAAGGCTAAACATCTAATTTATGGTGCTCCAGAGCAGTTTCTCATACAATATCAAACTTGGAAAATTCTGTACCACTTATCACAATGATCTCATATATGTAACAATAAAGGGATGAGCAAACAATTGCATTTTGCTTTCCTGCTATAGATCTGTAATATAACACCAAGGCCCCTTTGCGTCTATGGATTTTACGTTCTCAGTTTTACTACTTTTCAGTATTTCTAATGGTTGAAGATTCATTGTGATTTCTTATCAGAGGTTTCATTTAAATTATAAGTCTTCTGAGGCTAGTGTATCAAGTGGGTCCCTATTCCAAGCATGGGTCAATGGGGGGAACCTCATGGACCAACATCTTAATCTGTTTTGATATTTTCTATTCATCATCCAGAATGCAATGATTTCCATGGCTATTTTTAAACTTATTTGGTTTTTTTGGAAGATTCTTAAAATCAACCACTAGTACTGGTAATGAAAGTGAAGAAGTCTAAGGATATGAAGTTTCAAAGCCAGAAAATAACCCTACAAATTTCTTTAGTCCTATATTTATAGGGAACCATTAAGAACACAAAAGATCTTTAATTATTTTAGTTATATCACACTGTGTTTTGTGGGAAAATTAGGTGCCCTGCTGAGGTTTGTGATTTTGAGACCGCTCTTTCTCTTGGGAAAATATACCTCATAAGTGTCAAAAATGTACTAAATTTGCAAAATCTGCCTCCTGCCACTACCATACCCACATACATATCTTCAATTTTATAAATATGATGTAGTAACAAAGATTTTTAAATCATTCCCACTCAGTGCATTTAGGAATTCATATTCTCTTAAAATAAAATTTCATCCTGGTAGGACAAATGCAAAATCTAATAAATCAATTATAGGAGCATCCAGGTGATGCTCAGTTGAGCATGAAACTCCTGGTTTCAGCTCAGGTCTGATCTCAGTGTCATGAAATCAAGTGCTGTGTCAGACTCTGCACTCTGTATGGAGTCTGCTTGTCCCTCTCCTTCTGTCCTTCCCCTCTGCCCCTCTTCCTGCTCATGCAAGCATGCTTTCTCTAAAATAAATAAAATCTTTAAGAAAAACAAATTAACTCTATTACCTTGTGTTAAATATCTGTTGTTATACATACAACATATTGCCTGCTTTCTTAAGTTTCAAAAAGAAAAAGAAGAAAATTGGATAAGTATAGAACATCTGTCGTTAATAAACTGTGGTCTTATGTTAAAGGATGTAGGAATGTATGTCCCAAACATTTTAGCTTACCCTCACATGTGTAACTTCTTTACAACACCTAAACTTACTTTACTGGTTCATGTGGTTGTCTGTCTCTTCCTGTACCAATGCCAAGGGCAGATACTATCCTGTTCATTGTTAAATCCTCAGAACCTACAAAATACGAGGTATATAACCAATCTTCAAATATTAGTTAACGAATGGGAATAATGAGAATCCAGTGATAATGATGTGAAAATATTTCTGGGAGAAGACTTGTCCAATCATCTCATAGGAAATAAATGGTACTACCTGGACTTCTACAATGCACAATCTGTACAGCCATATATGACAACCTTATACCCAAGCTAAGTTTCCAAGAAAGAGGATAACACAGTATAAACATGGAAAAAGGATGAGGCATATATAATGACTGTCAATCAAGGGTTGTTGACTTTAGAGGAAGAAAAAGAAGCATCGATTAAGATTAGGCTCCATTTCACCCAAGAAGGGAAAGGCCTCCTTCTTCTTTCACCAGGCCATCGTCAAGCATGCACATGACTCTGGCCATTTCCATGTCTCTGCTACTCTTTCCACACCCCTATCACTCTCACGGTTTCAGGCTGCCCACGTGCTCCTCCACTTAATCACTTAAATTTCACCTCTGAGTCGGGGCAGCAACCAGAAATTGGGAAAAGAAGCCTTAGAGGTCACTAGTATCTGTGACCTTGTGGAAGCAGTGGGGCTGCCAAGGGGGTAGAAGTGACTGGAGTGGTTTGATATTTACACTTTACAGGCTTGTAAGAGATGCTCTCATCTTGCTTCTTTGAAGGCCCCTTCCCATTTATGGTGGTACTGGGGATAAGGAGAAAAGGAATGTCAATGATTTCAATAACTTTAAACCTGCCAAGCATTAGAACACCATCTCTTCTACACTAATTCATTCTCTTATTAATCCTCAGTCTCCCAAAGCAGACAGGAGGCATCTGTTCCAAGAGGGGTTCCGGGCAGTGTCCCTTCTACAGGCCATCTTCCCTCTAGCCCAGAAGTCCAATGGCCAGATCCCAGGCTTTCAACTCATCTCATTTCTGTGCCTTCTCTAGGGGCACCAGGGAACTTCTGGGCTCTTTCCCTGCCTTCTAGGAGACTCTAAGGGGCTGGGTCTAGTGCTCTCAGCCAACTTGTACACACTGCCAGTTGTCTCCTCCTGCACTTGCCACATATTGGCACGGGAAGATCAAGTGAGGTGATGTCCTCTCAGAATGATACATGGCGAACAGAATAGAGGTCCTCTTTCTTCCATTGTTTACCCTAATCTCTCAGTAGTTTCTACCATCTCTTGATTTCCCTGGAATTTCAACCCCAGGAGAGGCGGGTGGGTCAGAAGCCAAACATTTGGCTTCACACTTCTGTCTTTCTTGAATGTTTTCCCCAAACCAAAGGGCCTAAAACAACATTGATAACCTGATATGGTTTCTGTGGGCCAGCCATCCAGGTGCAACTAGCCAAGTACCTGTGGCTCAGGATCTCTCACAAGGCTGCAGTCAAGATGTCATCTGGAACTTCAGTCATCTCCAGGCTTGTTGGGGGAAAACCTGCTTTTGAGCTCACTCGGGTGGCTGTTAGCAGCCAGAGGTCATCCATTGCTGTAAGCAAGAAATATTCATTCCTTGCCACATGGGCCTCTCCGTAATACAGCCCACAGCAAGCAGCTAGGAACAGAGGAGGGATGGAGGGAGGGAAGGAGAGAGAGCAAGCCCAAGAGGAGACCAGTCTCTTTGTAAACTAACCTCACAAGTGACATCCTATCACTTTTGCCATATTCTGTCCTTTAGAAGTGAGTCAGTAGTTCCTGACTACGTTCAAGAGGTAGAGTATGGAACACAAAACTGTGTACCAAAGATGGGAATCATTGGAGAACCTTAAAGGCTGCCCTCCATACTTTGGTGGGACTTTATCTCGACTAGCCAACACTATAATCTTTGCATCCTTACTAGAACGTGAACTAGGAGAACATTTTATCAAGCCCTTCTGGGATCCTTACAGCAGCTTGCCTAGAAGTTCCTTGCATAAGGGTGCCTGTGTGGCTCAGTCAGTTCAGCATCTGACTCTTGATTTCAGTTCAGGTCGTGATCACATGATCTGTGAAATCCAGCCCAATGTCTGGTTCTGCACTTGAGTGGGAAGCCTGTCTAGGAATCTCTCTCTCTCTCTGCCCCCTCCTCCGCTTGCATGTGTGTGTGACTTCTCCCTTTCTCTCTCAAAAAAAGAACAACAAGTGGTAGTAGTAGTAGTAGTAGTAGTAGTAGTGGTAGTAGTAGTAGAAGTTATTTGCACAGCAGTTGATAATTAGACAAGCCTGGTTTGGAATGAGAGCTCTGAAATTCACTAGCTGTGTGATCTTGTGGCAAGTTGTTTACCCTCTCTGAACCTCAGTAATATATGACACACTGGGTTATTGGGACAATTAATTGATAAATAAAATACACTTAAAAATACACTTAATTGCTTGCCTTATAATCCCTTAATCAAATCAATTCTTGGTAGCAGTAGTATCAGCAATTTGATTTTTTTTATGTTTAACATCGAAAAATACTCTGTCACACTCATACTGCTATAGGGAACTTCAATAAGAACCATGTAGCATCCATTAAATAATGGAATGGATCTCAAATAAAAGAAGCAATGGGTAGGGCTTGTTTAAGGGGTAAGCACAGGAGCTTTTGTGCTCTGGTTGTGAGTGTTGGTGGCTGCTGGGAAACGGAATCAGACCTGCAGGGGACCCAAGAACTTGGGAGTCTGGCCTGTGCACTCTTGCTCCCTTTTTGGGTTTCTGGGGTTTCAGGGGAGCCTTTGGCCCTTGAGGGTATTTGGAGGCTGTGCCCAGAAGAGCAGGAGCAGGAGCAGGAGGGCCCCTGGAGATAGGCTGGACCTTGGGCCCAGAGTTGGCCAGCTTCTGCCTGAGGCAATGGTTATCTTCCTTCAGCCACTGGAACTCACTCTCTGCCCACAGAACAGCCTTCTGGCTCTCCTCACTTCTCCTCTCCAACAGGAAGTGCTCCCAGTCATGCAAGGAGGAGATTTTCTGCCATTCTCAGTGCAGGTCGTGGGCCATCTTCTTCTGGAGGCCTAAGTTCCAGTGGGCAGCATCCGCCTTCCTGCGCACCTTGGCAAGTTCGTTCTTCACTTGCAGGCAGTGTGCCTTCTCCTCCATCATCTTTCTCTCCAGGTGTTTGATGTGCTCCTTGCACAGCTTAAGCTCTGCCTCCAGCTTCAGGCGCAACTTCTGAATCTCACTTTGCAGGAGGGTGTTTTGAAGGTGAAAAGATACTTGCTCAGCTTGGTGGATTGTTTTGTTTCTTGGGAGCTCTTCATTCCTCTTGATGTGACTTTTCAGTGCCCTGGACGGCTTTCCTTTGTTCATGGGGCTCCCGCCTGAGGGCACAGGGTCAGTGGAGGAGGAGCCAGTCTCCACCTGC